GATTTATAAAGTCTATATCTTAAAATTCTAAACCCTAAAAAATGTTTTGACACCTAAAACCCCCTAAACACTCAAAACTAAAYCYTAATAGAACATAATTAACCCAAAYATAAATAATATAAAAAAAAAAATTTTGAAAAAGTAGCATTTTTGTAAAGATTTCAAAAGTGTGGCATTTTTGTAAAGTGACACTTGAAAAATGGTATTTTTTGAAATTTCTCAATAATATTTGACATCTAAACATAAATCGTTTAGCAAACCTAATATAATTTGCATTTCTAATTTGGTAGACGTTTTTTATACATACAAATAAAATTACTTAAGTAGATACAATTTTTAAAATCGAAACTTGATTAACCCTGACGAAAGTTGATAATCATGAAACAAACTAAACCTAACTCTTTGCGACAAGTTTGAACGGAAAGATTAGATAAGATATGGATGGACTATCTTCATTGCTTAAACGGCAAGTTGATATCTTTCATATGCACATTTTTTATTAACAAAAAATTGCTTAAAGGTTTGTTTGTTTCATAACACACCGATTTATTTTATTAATTATTATAGCGAATATAATTGACATTTCATGTAGCATGAGATGTTAGTGTAACAATGTTTCTACAATTAAATGATTTTATGAATGGGACCCCGATTTTGTTCTGTGCATGTAATGATTTCAATGCAAACCTTTAGACGAAAGCAAAAACCCTTTAATCAGGCTTTAGATGTTGCCAGACTGTAGCAAAACAGCAATTATATTTGATGCACTGAATTATAGCACTAATTTCTGCTTTTTAGGGTTAAACCTTTTCTAAAATGTGTTTATGATTTTGTAGACATACATATGTACATATATTATGTATTGTAACTTATTTTTTGTAATGGTTCATTCTATTTGAAATTTTTTACAAAAAAAAAATACAGCGAATTGTTTGACCTCATGGTCTAATTACAAAATTTTCTTGAGAATAATATAAGGATTTTCTAAGAGTACTTTAACAAAAAAAAAATCTAAGAGTATGTCATGAAATATGATTTATGACTAAAAAAATATTTTACCAATCTAGTATCCATATAACTCAATCTGCTTACCAATATTATATTGGTATATTTGAATCTGTTTATGAAGAATAATTAATACTTTATCCGTTTTAAAATATAAGTTGTTTTGGTTAAAATGCGAATATTAAGAAACTATTTTTCTTCTAAAAATTATTATCTTATATATATAACAAAATTATTTAACCAATGAAAAAAGCGACTGCAAAATACTATTGGTCATACAATAGTCAATAAAATTAAAAAAAAAGTATCTACAATTATCAAAACAACTTAATAAAAAACCTCCAAAACAACTTATATTTTTGAAACGGAGGGAGTAATTTTGTTTCGTAGGCGAAATCAGAAGCGCCAATTCTAAATTTCCAGTGAATATATCATGTTTGAGGCTTTTAGCCATGCAAAATCCAACAACGACCGTATACTTAAAAAATCATATATAACATTTTTTATCTTGTGACACAAAAAAAAAAAAAACATTTTTTACCTAATGAACAAAACCATAAAGCACGTATGTATTGATGCATGTGGATGTATTAATTACGTATGAATTACAAATCGTCATGGCTTTAATAAGCCATTGATTTTATGATTTGGACGTGAGTAATTCAAAATAAGGAAGTGATAATGTGACCGTGTGAGAATGTGAAAGATTCAGATGCAATGCGACACGACTCACGCGACATATATAACTTCGTATTACAAAAGGCACTAAGTTTTTTATTTTATTTTTATACCTGCTTAATTTAAAGATACAAGCGGATGCAAGAAATAGTTTTTAGCTACCTAAATGTTATTGAGAAAATTAAGACTATAGTATATTGTGGATAAATGATTCCACCTAACGCACATGGAAAATAAATTTAGAATTAATGAGATTGATATCATTTTGTCGAAGCCCTTAGCTCTTAGAAGACTTAATGGCACGACGCACGTCACTCGTCGTCGTCACTGCTACTCACCCACTTGGACCCGCCGGGAACAAATTAAAGCCGCAACTAAATTTCAATTATTCATAGAGAACTTGTCCATTCTCGTTTAGTGTACGTATAAATATAGAGAAATTTAAAAAAAATGTCATTTTTTAAGTGTTATTTTACAAAAATGCCACACTTTTGAAATCTTTACAAAAATACCATTTTTCAAAATTATTTTTTCTTTATATTATTTATGTTTGGGTTAATTATGTTCTATTAGAGTTTAGTTTTGAGTGTTTATGGGGTTTTAGGTGTCAAAACATTT